CCCCCCCCCCCCTTCCCCACCAAATGGTAACAACAAAGTCTGTTCAATATTATTATAATTGTATCGTTGGAAGATATCGGCACCTCGCCAGTACGCGCCACTTTGTTTCATTGAGTAAAGAGCTGTACATCGACACAATATGGCCATTTTGTGCAGAGGGAAATAAGACCCCCAAAAAAGCAAAGGAGTAGTGGGAGGGGGAGAGGGGGTAGTAGAGTATCGATCAGTTGGGTTTTTAAAAAGTTTTAGTAGAGGTTTTACAGCGCTCGCAACTGCATATGGTCATACGAGCGCAAGAAGATTAGAGGTGTAACAAGAGAGTAACAAACATAATAAAGAAGAAGGGGAGACAAGGACGATAGACGTTTGATAGGAAAGAAAGCAAACCACACCAGAGCACCCGCTAACCACCCACTATCTATCAGTGTGGTCCTCAACCTATCCCAAAAACAGTGTGGCTCGGGAAGCAGACAATATGAGCAGAAACGTAGTTTATCAAGTTAGTGCAACATCGGCCATGATCATATCATAACTCATAAGGATGTAGACAACAAGGAATAAAAGGAAACTAGAAGGAGCAGACCATACTGAATCGACCGCAAACCTGCACTTGATATGAATACGATTGGCAATCCAAGACTCGTAAATTTAGTTTTAGAAAGTTTTACGGCACTTGCAGCACAAATATACATACCGTGAGAGAAGAAAAGCTCAGTGAATTTTACGCTCAGACTATCAAAAAGTGCAAAATTCTATTTATCTATTTCATGTAACAATAAACATTTAACTGTTATTCCTGAAGTAAGCTGAACTATACTATGTGCCAAAAAAAGTATGAATTTTACAGTAGCACAGACGCTTCTGTAGCCGACATAAGAGGGAAGGAAGGAAGGGGAGGAGCCCAACCTGTTTGCACAAGACCAGCTAACTTGCAGCTATGTCTGACAACAGTTATCTCTTGTTTTAATCAATAGAGAGAGGAAAAGGGAACTGTTGTCCTCCTTGTGACAGGGAACGGAAGTCTCAACAAGAAACACAAGACACGATGGGCCCAACACAGAATCTGATGATGTGCAGAAACAGATCAAACTTAGGTAAGTTCTAAATGCAAATCATCAGCTCTGGTCTGGGATAAAAATTTCCCTTTGACTTTGTCTTATGAAATCCTCATAATATACACTTATTATATCAAATTTACCCCACTAATTGACCAGTGACAACAGAAAGCTTGTTATATGTATATAATAGTAATTACATTTCATTTTGCATGATATCACTGATGACAGTAAGTAACGCAGCAGCAGCACTGAGTAGATGCAACACTGAGTAGATGATGATAAAAACATTAAAAGAGTAAGAGTTTCACACATCACAAGACAAAATGTAAATTTGACATGGCTGTTTCTGATCTGAAGAGCCGCCCCTCCACCCCTACTACCCTACTGAAAAATCTTGGAACAGAGTACAAAGGAACATAATTTCTTTTTTCTTTTTTTTTTTGGTGGTACATGTACAGACAATTCATGGAAAGTCCCGTGCATCAATCCCATAAAATAAAACCTTTACGTTTTAATCTTTTGTGATATTAAATTGTGTATTATTTGTGCATTTATGTACAAAATAAAATATCAGTAAGTACACAATTTAAAGTCAGATTTCCCTGCGGGATCAATAAAGTGGAATTGATATTTAAAATTGTTTCAGTAGAAATACTCCAAAGAAGTGATATAAAGACCGATGTCACTTAGTCACGACTTTAGTGGCAGTCAAAAGTAATACATGTATTTCATTGACAATGACAATCTTTATTCATTTCGCATGGAGAAATTTGTCTTGGTCGTTACCAATGGCAGTAGACGTTACAAAGGTTAGGTGCACTCACGTATACGTACAAGAAGACAGAACATTAGTAAATACATGTCTCACATGCTGGAACAACCACAACCTGCCCCGTAAAACATTCTCTCTCTCTGTTTCATTCGTAGCACTGTGTGGTCACTAACCCCACTGCAGTTGGTAGGGATGAATTTCTATATATATGTCTATTCATCATCTTGCTTTTTTGGAAATATATCCTTTATTGCGGCTTGATAGTTGAAATTCCGATTTCAGTGGGTGGTTATGGTCACTAAGCATTATTTACCCCTTTTTCAGAACGTTTGTCTTGTGCAGATATTCAAAGTTACACAAGTCTCTACACATTGTATCACATTGTTCTTGATGCCATTCGGTCAATCATTCTGATCAACCTGTTTATTTTTATGATTTGCTGCCTTCCCAAATTGCTACCATAGCATGTGATATCAAAATGTATCAAAGTTTCTATTGTGGTGGTGTAGAAAATCTGAAGGATGGATGGATTCAGATTGAAAGACCTAAGTTTCCTCAGAAAGTACAGCCTCTGATTTACCTTTTTAACGATATTGTTTACTTGATTTTGCCACGTAAATTTGTTGTCGGTTGAAAGACCAAGATATTGTGTGAATCCGTGATTTCAACTGTTTCTTGTTCAATTACGAGAGGTGGGATTGTTGATCGTCTAAGCCAAAATCTCTAGGCTATAATCGACAGTGGGTGGTTTTAGACAATTTCGACAGAATTATGCAATCCAAACAACATCAGGAGAACGGTGGCCAATTAAATTCTATCAAATCAACAGTCAAAACTCTAAGGCACAGCACACCAAAGAGTCCCCCCCCCCCCCCACAAGTAATTTTAATATTTTTAAAGAAGGAAGATAAATGTCATGATAATTATAACATTATCACAAAAAGGATTTTCATAAATATTAGCACTTTTAAATATCTTCATTAATAATCGATATCTACTTAAAGGATGAAAAATTACAATTTGGTCGTGTACCATTCAAAGCAGCATTTGCATCATGACAACTGTAAAGGAAATGTTTCCAATAATCAACATTTCAATTTCAGACAAAATTATATAACAGACAAAAAGAGCCAGTCCAAACATGAACAACTGTGACACATCTACGGTTCCCCAACAGTTGACCAGATTGAACATCACAAGTTATTGTTCCACCTCCTGTTTCCTCCCAGTCAAAATAATGTGAGCATGACACGCCTTCAATACAGTAAGTTAAGATTATTAAGATTATTAAAAGGAGTGTAAGACTCTTATGGCCCACTTATAAAAGGGAAAGGTCAATATTATATGATGAGCACAAAAATCACTCCTGATAACTACTAGAACATGATTAACCAAGAAGAAGTACTGGAGGAAAGAAATCTTTACATTCTTTCAAGCTTTAAGTGTACAGTCTATATAATAATATATTTTTAATTTGGCTAAGTTACCATACACTGAAAAAGTAGAAAGATTAATTTTCCATTTGGTGTAATCCATTGTTTTACTATCTTGCAAATTACGACGTGACCCTGATGCCCTACAAGTGAATTTTCCACTCAGACCCACAATCTTTAATTTTTGTTTGCAGGTCACAAGATGAAACCTCACATTGCGAAATGAATGGGTTCCTAGATCTTGATAAGAACATCATAAAGTCTGCATTTAGCCAAAGCCACAGAACAAAAGAGCATGTCTTGCTTTTAAGTATAAAAATTATTTTTCATTCTTCCGAAACACAGTAACAAGGATATTAAAAGGCAGCACAAAATAACACTGACTGTAACAAGAGGGCCCAAAAAATCCTACTGCTGACTGAAATTTTTTTCATAAAAAAAATATAAAAAAACCCTGCTTCATGTGCATGTACTGAAAACTTATAAAATACCTTAAAGAGAAATCAAATAAAACTGTCTTAGTGGCATTTCCTTTTCGATTCTCCTTACAAATCACATGTGACAATACAGTATCAGGGCTGCCCAACCACCAGCATATGTTTTGGAAATCAGGAAATAAAAAATTAGTAATCTGACTTAGTGGATGGTTTGCGGATGCTATGGTGTGGTTTGCTTCTTCTTTCCTTTCTAACATCTATCTTCCTTATCTCCCCTTCTTCTTTTTTGTTTGTTACTCTCTTGTAACACCTCTAATCTTCTGGCATTCATATATATATCTGACCTTATATATGCAGTTGCGAGCGCCGTAAAACCTCTACTAAAGCTAAAAAATCTTGACTTAAAAATTGGTAATACATCCATGGGTTGTCTTCTTCCCAGGGATATCAAGGCCAATAACAGAAGTGTGCCAGGTGCTCTCTGTAGCTTCATGTATTTTTCTCCCCTTATAACACCGGGAGGTTGGCAGCAAGTTGGGAAAGCCAACATTTTCAGAAATGGGAATCAGGGGCATTACGATCAAATTTTCGTAAAATTGAGTAAAAGTTGTGACTATTCTAGCAAATTCAGAATGATGGGCAGCCCTGCAGTAGGCCTTTACAACACAGAGCTAGAAGTTGCAATTAGGCTACTTGCATTGTCATTGAATATCTGAATTTAGAGTAAAATTACCGGTTCGGTCAAAATAAGGACGAAAACAGGCACGTCGACTTTAAAGCTTTATATCTCCTATCTGCCCTGCCCTAGAGACAAACCGAAACCAGCTACAGGAAGTCCTGTGATTGGATGACCCCAGGAATGACCTGTTTCAGCTTGTTCTCATATTTGAGGCCCTTACCGGGTGCAAAAGTGACGCCCGATTTATTTACGAGTTCGGACACATTTTTTTTGTTTTCTCATGGATTCGGGCAGTATTTTGACATTCGGTCATTTTCAATTATCATCACATTTGTTTCGTTGCAAGCTTAATAACATGATTTTTAATGCTTGTTATCAACACTTGGACACAATGATAGTTTGTCTAAAGTGGTTTTCACCATTTATAGCTATTTTAATGAGTATGTATCTATGTATCTGACCCACTCTACTACGTGGTATCTGACTCTACTACACTGGCATCTGGCTCACTCAACTACACTGGTATCTGACTCTGCTACTCTGATATCCGACTGTATTACACGATGGTATCTGACTTTACTACCCTGGTGTCTGACTGAGCTAATATGCTGTATCTGACTCTACTATTATTTAAATTATGCACAAATTCTTTATTCTTTGTTATATAACCATTGGCTCTATATTATCTTACGCGCCCAAAGGATGAGAAACTACGGATTTTATGTTACAATCCGGGCACCCCCCGTTTGGGCAAAAACGGCGAGACTAAACGGCAAATTCTCTTTCATTTTCATCCTTGACAGGGCCTCATGCAAATAACTCTCCAGCCTTCAGAGTCTACCAAAACGTAGAATCTAGGTCACAGGCTCCTTCATCCACACCAATGTTAACTCTTCCGGGAAAAGAGCTTCACGCTGTTTTGCTCAGTTGATGAAGAAAAAGCTGTCTTAAGGACTATTTTCAGCAAAATATCGCCGTAACTGTTGTTTCAACGAAAGCAAGGGAGGTTGCTTTAGGTTTGTGTGCCACTCTTTTGGGGCTAGATTTAAAAACAAAGTTTTAAACGATCGTTTTGTACTCCAGTGCCCGACAGCAAAAAAAAACGCGCTGCCCGAACCGGTACGATTACTCTATATATTATAATGCATCACAGCAACCAGACCTCAACTATGATTACATAATGTTAAAAATAAGCCACTTGAGTTTAGAAGATGACTCACTGGACCATGCTATTGCCATCCAGCTTATTATGGCTTGGTAAATCACAATGAGAAAAAGTAACATAAAGAGGCAAATTTTTACTTTCACTCCCACACACAATTACTAGAATTACAATAGATAGTGTCATTAGTATTAGCACTGTTATGTTATGGGCTACATTTTAGGGGGTCAGAAGGCCACATTTTTTGCTTTTTAGTGCAGATTTCATATATTATTTTATGGCCTTATGTTATAGATTTATGTATGGCTACTAGATCTAGATCTATAATTAGCTTGGCTTATAGAGGCTATCGCAAATCACTATGAAACAGAGTAGAATAGAGGGTAACGGTTTGGGGTACGGGTAGGGTTATAGGGTAGGGTTAGAGCCAGTAGAGGTGCCTTTGTCTTTTGTAATGGTAGATCTTGGGGTAAGGCGTAGGTAGGGGTAGAGATAAGGTCAAGGGCAGGGGTGGTAGGGTTGGATAGAGGTCTCTTTATTGGAAGAAAAAACAAACATCACAGGGGCGACAATTAGATAAATGGTCTACATATCCCAAAATTATTTGGTTGTTTCCCTTGTCATAATTGGTGCTGGAGGAAAAAAGGGCGATCCCGACACGGAATGAGTCACACGACGAAATATAAAAATGAAAGTACAGTTTTACAAAAAATGAAAAGACAAAGAAACTGAAATGTGGATATAAAAATGCAACGTGAAAATGCCACAAGGTATTAGGACAGTCCGGTAACAACTTTCATTATGTACTCTCAACTGTCTGAACTTGGGATTGCTAGAACCAAGACCTGGCAGAACAATACTTTGGAAGATGGGACAGATGAATGGATGCTAACATACAAAAGCAAAGGGATCAGAAAAAGAAATCAGCACATCTGCAAAGACTCTGATTTATAAGAGACCTACCTCCCAGTCATGTAGAGCTTGTACTTCGCTGCAAATGTTCCTTGATTATAAGCTGTTTAGTCGAAACGAACCAAGTCGGCCATAAAATGGCGGAAGTGAAAAGAGTTACTCAGTACTCACTTCCGGTTTACAAATTTGGCAATCCCCACCAAGCCTCCAAATTTTACATACCTAGCCTAGGTCAAAGGGTAAAGTTCATGAACTCGAGCAAAGATGGAAACGGAAACAAAACAACACAGTACACAGTGTAGGCCTCGGCTAGGTAGGTGTGTAGGCCTGGCTAGCGGACTCAAGTTTCTCTCACCTGTGGCGTTTGTTTACCGTTTGCAAGGGAGACTGAAGAGACGAGTGAACAAAGCTTGCCTGGGCTAAGAATTCCTTCTTCGCTTGACTACGTATATTGAGCAACTGAGCAAATCATGTCATGTGTGTAAAACTTCAGTCAAGTTGGTTTGTCTCATCTTGATTTGTTGTTGATTCACAGATTTGGATATGAAGAGAAGATGGAAAATTTCAACTTCACACCGCTAGATCTAGAATCTAGAATCTAATCTAGATCTAGATCTATTATTTTTCAATTCTTAATAGATCTAGATTGTAGAAATTTAACTGCCCCGGGCCCTTTGAAACAAATTAGATAATTTAGGAGGCAGGCTATCTGTAATGGCCCACTTGTGTTTGCGGTACTACTTGAGAGGGTCCCGTTTGGGGAGTTTGTTTGACCCACCAACAATTACTTCTGGTTCTAAACGATTACTTTTTGATACGATAGGCCTTCATAATCTATTAGACCTATCACTATGTTTTAATAGAGGTGTAGTGTCAGGATATTTGTTGGGCCCGATCTGTCGATTTGATCGAGGAAACGCGTGACAATCCATCGATTGTTCCGCATTCTGTTGATCAGCGGACCTTGCAGGAGAAAACAAAACAGACTCTGGTCAACACATGAATTGTTCCCTTTCACTCTCTTATTGGTTTTTGATGCCTCCGATCATTGAAATACTAGCACGTTTCAGTTCAAAATGACAAACTTATTTATTATAGACAAATGTATGCTTCTGCCAAGTCCCTTCACTGACGTCTTGAAGTGTTAGGCAGGCGCTTCGATCGTTGTTGGACACAGGAAACGCAAGTTCGATTCCTGAATGGGGAGAACATTTTTTATCAAATCTCTCGGTATTTCTGCTAGGATGCGCATTGTTTCCCTCTCAGCCTGAGTTGGCTCTGACAGGCAGGGCTGATTGTACCTCCTAGTCTTGGTGGGGAAGGAAAACTTCTATGATAATATTTTTTTTAAAGACTTCACCCTCAACAGCGATACACACATCCTAGGCCTATACCATTAGCCTGGCAATCCATAGTTGTATCACTATCACTGATGTCTTTTATAGTAGGATTAATTACATAATTATAACTCCTAAGTTTTTTTAATGTTGGCGTCTGTGGTTTAGCAGTTATATTGTTTGTATATTATAATATATATATATATATATATATATATATATATATATATATATATATATATATATATATATATATATATATATATATATATATATATAGAGGCACTCTGCGGTAGATGCAGGAGAGGTGAGGTTGATTCCCTTGTGGAAAAGTTTGATTTAAATCGAGTATCGCTGTTTATGTCTGTTGGGACTTTACATCCCTATCTATAGGCACTCTGCCGGTAGATGCAGGAGAGGTGAGATTGATTCCTTTGTGGAAAAGTTTGATTTAAATCGAGTGTCGCTGTTTATGTCTGTTGGGACTTTACATCCCTATCCTCCTATCAGCCCAGGTTGCTCCTGACTGGCAGGGTCAACCTACCTCCTAAATTATCAAACTTGGGTTGATGGAGGCATGACATAAAACATATCAGATTTGATAAAACAGTATTTTTTTTCTTTCTTCATGATAGTAAGTGATGGGTTTTTTTTTAATTTTAAGCTATGATTCACATTTTTTTTCTTTCAGGAAAGGTACCCTCAAGAAGAGCTAAAGTTTGCCTCACCATCTGCACTTCATTCGGTGGTAGCTTGGAGCCCCTTCCCCAAAGGAACCAATGACCAGTCTATGGTGATGGGACTACATTGAAATGGGAAATCAAGTGTGCATTCTTCAAAGTGATATTACACCGACAGTGACTACAAATGACCTGGGTACACCTCAAGACAGGAAAGGATGAAACACTCTGATAGTCGGAGGACTTCGTCACAAATTTAAAAGCCCATTCATCGGCCCATCTAACCGAATAGTCTGGAACTCAACTCTTTTGTATTACTCCTGTCAGTTATTCGAGCAGCTTCATGTAATTAAATTACTTACAACAACCAAACAATACCCTAGTTTCTACGTCAAATTGACCCCATTCTAATGTTCAACCTATTGGACAGAGACACCAAAAAGACTCTCAGTACTCTCTCTTCACCTTCACCTTCACTCAACGCCTTAAAAATTCAAATAACTCTACAAGAAGCCAAACATGCATCAGAATCATCTCATCCTTTCCCCTCAAGCTATAGTCTTTCCGCTTGACTCTCCTACTCTTACTCCTTCCTGGCAGCACATGCAGTGGAAACAATATATAATAGGCCCGGTAATAATGGGGATCCGGTAATAACAGGGATTTTTTAAATCCCCAAAAATCCCTGTTTTTCCTACACTTTGTCTCTATTAAAAGTTATCAGCAATAACAACAGGGCCTCATCGGAGCCCAATTGGTTATAGCAGGGACAAAGGCTACTTAACAATGTGTAAAAAGTAAGAGAGCGAGAGTGTGTAACGCAGTGATGGAGCAAGCCACGCCATGGCTGCAAGCACACGCAGCCGGTGAAGCGAAAGAAGCCTGCGGATGTGCTGCACACTTTGATCTAACCCTAAGCCTGGTTACACGCACGTGTAATGTGTCATGCGCAGACCTGCCACACAGCCAAAATCCCTTCTATTCGTGGGTACTTGTGGCAAGGGAAACTACCGGTGAATAAATACAGCTGTATTAGTCCGCAAATGCTTACTTCCCTTGCATTTCTGATATAACGCAACTTTTTCTCTGGTCCCACCATCCCTGTTATATCAGGTTTCCACTGTAATCAACAATATGTCGCCCCGCGTCAACGGGAAAAAACCAACAGTTTCATGATGTTCCCTCTCACTTCACCTGATGCTTTCTGCCATACATTCACCTCCGATAAAACAGCAAGTGCTACACCTTCAAACTTGGATTTACCAACTGTCGTCGGTCAACGAAAGTCGCCATTTCCAACTCTAACAGCATTCCTGTTGGCCAGCACTTTGATAGCCAGGCCACAATGGAACCATGACATTCAGCTTCAGGGCATTTAGATTATGAAAAAACAACCAAAAATTAACCAAGAACGCAAAATTGTTCCAGAAACCATCGTCATCAACATTTCCACAGAGACATCAAGTGCTTTTAAGGCTGACTCACTGTCATGTGTAATCTCATTTCTCTTTCTGAACCTTGGTTGTTCCCTGAAAAGCTCTATGCTTCTTGAGAGCACCTTATATCATCATGTTTTAAATGAATGCTTTTGTTGCCATGTGAGGTGTGCTGACAAAATGAATTAAGTCGCAGATTTTAGTTGGACATAGATACATAAAATTTATAGTTAATAGATCAGATAGATTTCATTTGTATAGAGAATTACATGAAATAATGTGTAGGTAGTACCGTAGTCATTCGTTGCCGAAGATGACAATGAAATCCTGCAGCTCATCTGTGGACGCGCATGGGGCTGTGCAATCCGATCCTGGATGTACATTGTCTGTTGCAGTGGGGACACTGGAATGTCGTGGTTGGGGTGGTTGGATTAAATGTGTCCTCTCTCTTCTGATAGTCAGCTTCTCCCTGTAGTTTGTATTGCTGTTTCTGCTGGAAAGACAGATGGCCCTGCACCAGGCGTTCCTTTCTATGGCAGTTCTTTTGAGTTCTTTTGGGGTTACCTGTACAAACTGGAGGTTTTCCTTTATCGTGTCTTTGAACCGCTTTTTGGCCTCCCGAGATTTCTTTTGCCACTTGCGAGTTCGCCGTATAGCTGTTGTTTGGGCATTTGGTGATCTTCTATGCGGATGACATGGCCGACCCATCTCAGTTGAGGGAGGAGAGCACAACGGCTTTGTACACTTTGATTTTTGTTGACAGCCGGACATTGGGCTGTCTAAGTACCTTATTTTTCAGTCTACCGAGAGCTTGGCTGGCTTTGCTGATTCTGGAATCAATTTTCTGATCAATGGAGCCGTCTGCAGAGATGATACTTCCAAGGTATTTGAAGTTCTTGGTGTTCTTCAGGCTGTTGCCTTTGATAGAGATGTTTGGAGACAGTGGGTTAGTTTGTGGGGCAGGCTGGTGAAGAACTTCAGTTTTCCCGATGCTTATTGTAAGTCCAAAATACTTTGAGGCTTCTGCAAAGTGATTGAGCATTGTTGGCAGGTCCACTTCGGAGGGAGCATTCAAGGAGCAGTCATCGGTGAAGAACGCCTCCTGAAGGAGTTTTGTGCTTATTTTTGTCTTGGCTTGCAGGCGACGTTGGTCGAAAAGAGAGCCATTCAGACAATAATTTAGGTATGTTCCCTTGTCAAGATCCTTGTAGGCGTGGGAAAGCATGGCGGTGAAGGAGATATTGAAGAGGAATGGTGCCAGGACACAGCCTTGTTTGACACCATATTCGTCAGTCATGTTGTCACTTGTAAGAACTTGCCCACTCATGCCTGTGTGGAAGAGCTGGATGATCTTTAGGAACTTGGGAGGGCAGCCAATCCTTGAAATAATAAAAACTTGTTTAACAGGAAGAAAATGGCTTGAATTAAAATTCTACAAATTTGATGAGTCTTTTTGCAGCAGACAAATCCATTTGTTGACTTTGAGAAGTAACTCATTTTGTCAGTGAGCCTCACATATTGTTGTTTTGATTTCCTTCTACTTATTACATGAATGTTCCTGACGAAGCTTTACGGGTGAAACAAATAACCTCATTTTTAACAACTGTCAAAATTATCTAAGAAGGCCACCTGTTGTTGATGAGAAAATTGTCCATCTTTGACAGGTGAGCGTCTTACGCAGTGCCATTATATAGCAAAGTAAGGGTAATGGGATGTGGTCCTTTTTTATGGGTGATTATCTTATACTGGTGGCCACTACAGCAGGCTTGATTTTTACTTACATTGTGATATTGTTTACCATAAATTTTTCAAAACTTGAACCAAGATGTTGGAGGGGTTTTTTTTATCGTACTCTTTTTGGATCATGATAAAAATGATAAGCATGATCAATTGTGTACCTATGATAATGTTATAACATTGACTGTTAGTCTGTAGTTTGATGCATGACTGTAAATATTCTAAAGGTTGTTATAACTTAATTGAGATGAATGAAAGCATCGACCTTGCATGTCGGGTCAATATGAACAAAATGGATTGCTGCATCCTCACAGAGGACACACAGGGATACTCGATGAAGGAACACAAATTCATGGTTATCGAGCTCATTAACTGTGTCCTCACCCCGTATAATATAATATATATAACATATAAAGAGCTTAATCTTTGTATCACAGACTCGGGTGGGCCATTCCTGGCAAATAGGTCACAGGTCTTCAATTCCCTAAATAAGACCACATCATAGAAAAGTCTGAAGAGACACTAGCTTGATATATTTTTAATGACTGGCAGGCTGGATCTGTCCTAGACATGTTGAGAAGGGGTGGATAGGTAAAAAGGAATGTGGGGTGGAAAAAAAAATGAAAAAAAGGTTGGGGGCAGGGGGGTTGATCTAGAAAAATTATGGTTAAGATAATTCAAGACTCTCTATTCTTTGGAGCCTTGAACATTTGAATGACCAAAGACACAATACACAGGCTAAGATTGTGCTGCTGGAATATTTTCCAAATCGTAACTTTGATTGTGCCTTTGAAGCAGTTCACGACCAGAACATGTACAGTACATTTGTATATTGTATGTCGTTGAAAAAATCTATGCGCTTTTTCACATGTCGAGGTACCCGCGTTTTCACGACTTTTTTTTTTCCTTTGTTTTTGGACCAATCAGTTTAATTTTCACCAGGAATAGATTCTTTCCTTGGCCTTTGATGGTTACTTTACGAAAACAAATCTCGAATAATTAATCAATATTATATATATCATGTCATCGGCTAAGAGTACAACTGTTGTATGTCCATGCACTCTGGTTTTGAGAAAAAGGCCTTCAAAGTTCGAGATGGCTCCAGATTCAAATCAATCACCAAGTGATTCATCTAAATCTAACTGTTACCCATTGTTTTTGTGGATAATCAATGTTTCAACTTTAAAAGTTTTCACCGATGGATGTGTTACTGTGGAATTAAGAAACGGTTTTTGTTTTAAGAAAACCCAGTTTTCTGAAAAAGAGGACTGAATTCCACAAAGTGCAAATGGTCGCTTTTGAGGACAAGCGGGCTAACCCGGATTTGGGGGGTTTCCAGAAATCTTGACATACACAAAAAGTGGACTTTGCTTAACCTAGAGGAGAAGTTTGGTTTCATTGGTGTGTAGCTTGGTTAAAGAGAAAACTCTCCTTGCTTTTTAAAGAAACTACATGTAAATAAGGGGCAAAAACTTAACCTTCGATTTTATCGAAAAAGCATTTTTCGGGATAGCCCCCCCCCCCTTGTGCTTAAACGCGACAGGATGTCGTAGATCTATCTCTTTACATGTATTAGTATTAGGTTCTAAATCTCCATTATATAATCTAGTCTAATTTCATGGCTAAGTCACTCGGCTGCAGAGCAGAAGGTCCTCCTTGGCTCAATTCCCACGCGATATGAAACCAATAAAACCAATTTTTTTCAGAGGTTCAATGGGCGTTGACACCTGGCTTACGTGAAGTCATTGTCCTATGCCAGACAATTTGAGATGGCGTCTCTCATATAACCTCACTGTGTTAAAAAGGATGTAAATCTTAACCAACGATCGTTCCAGTTGCATGGGCATACATGTGTCCCCGGCGTCTGTAAGCCCGTGGCTACCTGGTGATCTTATCTGCACTAATACATTTAGATCTAATATCTCTCTTTTGACCTTATTGTGATGCAAGGGATTACCTTTTGAAACCAAATGCAACAGACAACACCTTCAATGCCCTACGAACTTTTCTGTCTCGTCCAACCAAAAACTAAATCGGCAAAGGAAAAAGGGGTAATGTAATTTTTTTCACTTTTGAGAAAGAAAAAAACATTTTAAAGTTTGACTTTCTCCTTTCTTGCATAGTACAGCAGAACACGGCTATAGCAGGACATTTTGTTCCAGAAGAAAAATCCCGCTGTAAGTTAGTGTGAGCCAGTTCC